TATACTAAGAAATTATTCATGGTTTATCTGAAATTCATATTTAACTCCATGTCTAGTATATTATTTGGAAAGGCCTTCATGAAACAAACAAAAAACACTAATAATTTTCAGAGCTACAACTCTCAAAGCTGAGATCTGGGATGCTCTGTGTGCCACATGTCTCCGGGAGGCCAGGAAAGGGAAGTATACTGAAGTCCAGCTGTTCTTGACTGGGCTTCCTTCTCTTTTTCCTGATAGCAGACATGGCCCTTGATGCAGAAGCTTTCATCAGTTAGGCCACTGAATTTCACTGCCTCAAAACTCCAGATCCTTCTCTATTTTATATGGATACTGTAAGGTTGAGAGGCGATACCACGTAAAAAGTCAAAATACTTATTTATCGGCGGAGTACTTTAGAAATACATTCTCAGAAACTTGAATAAGACACACAGTACCACCCCCACCAAGGAAGTGCTGAAAAAGAAAAGCACTGCCAATATATGGTGGGCATAACTGACAGCAGAAGGGAAAAACGAAAACTAGAAGAAATGTGTTTAAAACCAGATGCAAACTATGGAAAACGCAGTGCGACACCAAAAGGGACACCTAGCAGAAAAAGTGGGCAGTCACTGATGAATTCTACACTTTTCAAATGGCTATGTATGGGCTGGTATTTAAAACTTTGCCGCCTTGAGTCACAAACACTACTGAATCACAGTACATAAAGATAACACAATATAAAAATGGAACAAAGTCTTACCCATACGTGCCAATTTAACTTTCTACTACGGTCCCCTAAACCTTCACTCGCTGTAGCTTGGAAACATTTACTTTCTTTTAAAAAACAACAAACTGGAACTTGCTCGGAGTGTTCATTTAAATGACTTCTATGCCCAACTTTAATCTTCAAACTTTAACAAAATCCCATCTACTAAACACAAATTGCTGTGAACAGAAACTGCTTGAAGAGGATTAATCAACAGCTTTGCATGTCATCCCCTAAACAAGGCCAAACACTGAATCACTGTTGAATTCCTCACGTGCAGCTACACCCAGTTAATCTTCAAGAAAGCAGTAAACTATGTAAATCTACTTAAACTGGGGAAATAAGTACTTCGCTCATCAAAAGTTAGGAACATTTAACAACTATTAGAGGGCAAGAGCATTTGTAAAGAAAAATACACATGTGTGCAAAGAGAGAAATTTTACATTCACTCCTCTACCCCCAAACCCTATAGCAAATGAAGGGGGGGAGATGAGACACTACTTAGCAAAAAAGGTCATCCTTCACGCCACAATTTGCAAAAACCAAAGTACATAGCATAACTGAGTCAACTACCTCAAGAAAGCAGTTCCAAAAGAGAAGCAAGGAAACACGAAAAGAGAAAGAGCTAATAAAAGAATTCAGGAAACATAACACAAAGGAAAAATGAAAATGTCACTTTTCTATATTTAAAGGCCTTTAAGAATAAAGCACTTTTTTTTTCTTTCATACCACACTAAAATATTTTCACAAACACAGAAGTCCTAAAAAAAGGGTTTTCATTCTGTTTTGGGGGGTGCTGTTTTCATACAATCAGACTGGATTTGCTTAACGAGTATGATGTACTTGACAATCACAGTCCATAGTAGTAGCACACACACATTTCTCCATTGAGACTTGAACCAACGATCTTTATCTAGATACTGCCTACTGGGTTTTCACTGGCTCAAAAGCTTCTTCTCACTTTGACCTGGGCCGAGCAGGTGTATTTCTAATGTGCTCACAGGCCTGTGATGCAGGAAAATCCTGTTTATCTCAGATGATGCCAGAGATCAGTGCTTCCTGATTCCCTGGCTGCACTACGTGGGGGGAGAAGCGGGTGAGCACCACCTACCTCTACTTTAACTGAAACTGGCTGACTCCCATATACACAGTCAGCCCTCCATATCAGGGGTTCTGAATCTGCCTAACCTTATATTAAAAATATTTAAGGGGGAACCCAATAAAAAATAACAATACAAGTATTTTTAAATAATACAAATAAAAAAGCAATACAGTATAATAACTATTTACATAACATTAACATATTAGGTATTATAAGTAATCTAGAGATGACTTAAAAATATACAGGAGGATATGTACGTAGGTTATATGCAAATACTAAATACTACACCATTGTACTCAAGGGACTTGAGCAACCCTGGAACCTGGAACCAATTTCCCAGGGATACTGAGGGTTGACTGCATAAGTAGCATGGAAAAAGTTTTTAAAAGTCCGCAATAGTTTAGTAACGCAGTATTTTGACATCAATGCTGCCTCTGAACATCACAGACTTGTCACCCTTATCATCCATTTACTTCATCTTTCATCTCCCATCTCACAACCTGCCCCCACCTCCAAAAAGGTGTGAGGAATCCTTCAACTGGACTTCTGAGACTAGAAGAGTGATGGGCAATGAGGCAGATACGCTTTTCGTGAGTTCCTACTGAGATGGCTATGTAAGGAGGCAGGTGCAGTATGGGTTTTTAAGTGCATGACTTCCAGGGTTCAAATATTGGCTCTGCACTTTGAGTGGTACTGACTTGGAGCAAGTTATTTAATCCATGCCCCAGAGTTCTTAACTGTAAAATGGAGATGCTAATATTATCTGCCTCGTAGGGCTATCAAGATTATATGCCTATATGAGTTAATACACCAAAAGGATTTAGAATAGCAACCAGCAGGTAGTAAGGTGCTCAGTGACTGTTAGCTACCACTATTATGTATGCATAATACAAGTATGATTAAGATACATTCCATTTTTTAAGTGATTTTTTAATATACTTTTACATATTGCTTACATTCAATTGCTTCCTTAGGCAAAATATCTGAAACCAGCTCTAACACTTGATTATGTATTTCTAGATTAAAATCAAACCGTATTATATACCTAAAATTTTCCAATTCTTTCATCAAAATGAACAAACTAATACGAACTGAAAACGTTCAAGCTTAACATCACAAAATCTTATAAAAAGCATTAATTAGGCTTCCCATTTAGGCTAAGCCAGGATGAGATCACAAAGTCACTCATGGCAACCAGGTCCCTGCGCTGGAAGTGTGCTTACCCAGTGAATGGCTAAATACTAACAAAAGAAACCTTTGACTCAAATACCACTGGTACCCGGGGTCTTGTGTCTGTATAATGCCTACACATTCATTTCTTTCTTTGCCTATAGAAAAAAGAAAGTCTGTTTGTTTTTCTGATTCAGTCAGCCCTTTTAGTCTTTGAATCTAAGGAGAGCCCTGTGAAAAGAAGAGCATCTTATCAGCGTGCTCCAGACCAGCAGGCTGTCCCCCCTTCACATACAAAACCTCCAGCCCCTCACAGCAAAAGGCCTCGCCCTCAGAGCTTTTTCCCCATTTCAGAGCTAACACCCCGCCGGGTTTTGACAACAAATAAATGAATACACAAGGCCCTAACATAATTAGCCATCTTTTCAGGTAGAGTGAGGTGGGTGGAGGAGGAGGGGTTGAGAGAAGAGTGTTTATTGTACATTGGCTTTATTTATGAAGTTGATGTGTGCTGCATCCTAGGGCATTTATTTTAAATGAAGCCCAGAGAAGTGACTTTAGAGATGCCAGCTTCTAAATCTTGACCATTTTATCTTGTACTTCAAGGCAAGTGACAAATGCAGACTTGATCTTATTTTTTTAATTAAAGGGTGGGCTTTCTTATCCCAGGTAAAAGTTCCATCAACTTCCACATCACAGGCACACAGACCAGGGTGCATGTACTACCTTTTTAAGGGAAATTTAACATGTCAAAGAACTAAAGACCAGAAAACACTTCAACACTGCAAAAATACTTGCAATATACTTAAGCCAGGATATACCTAAAAAAAAAACAATGACTTTGAGAACAAGAACTAATCAATACTCCTGTGAACACCTATGGGAAAGCCACCAGGCATCAGTGTATCATCAGTCATGACCTTAATAGAGCTACAGTCTGCATAGAAGGATACAGTTTGCTTGTATCATTATTGGGATAATAACTTAATTGATTTGTCTCGGTGGCTAAGGATGTAGAGACAAGAGATTTATTACGGCGAAAAAATATCTGCAATCGAGTTTTTGTTTTCTCAACAAGCATCTTGCCACTGACCTCTAAATCAGTTTAACCTTTTCTAAACAGACCTGCACATTTTTTACATAATTTAGAGCTAGGTTTTGTTATTGCGGCTGCTGAAAGGCTCTGTGAGATTTATCACAACATGGCTTCAGTAACCTTCTTTTAAAAACAAAGATGAAAAACAAAAGAAAAGGCCACAACTGTAAGCTCCCAGCTCCATTCCTCTCCCCAGCAGGGGATTTTCATCTAACCACTTAAGTGCCTTTGGAGTTCAATCTGTTAAAAAAAAAAAAAATGTATGAAACGGTATTAAAATAGGAAAAAGCATGTGTATGACTCAGGCTTATCCACGTATCTTCTGCAACTAGGATGTCACAGGATTTCCCTGTGCTTCTGAAAACTGAAAACCTTGAGAAAGTGACAGTAGAAGTTCCTGTTTCTTTCTGTCTCTTTTTTTTTTTAATAAGGGAGGGGGCGCGGGCGATCTCACTCACACTCTCTCTCACACACACACACACACACACTCGTCTTCCGGGTTTCCTACGAATCAGGCAGGTTCTCTGAGGTTCCGAGCGAAGACTGCACCCCAGCGTGAGGACTTATCACCGTACTCCCTACACACAAAGGTTTCGGGGAAACCCAAACTTGTTGCAGAGCTGGGCAAAGCCCCCGGCCCGGCGCGCTGCCCGCGCCTCCTCTCCGCCCCTTCCCTTTCCTCTTCCTCCACGTCCCACCCTGCGCTGCCCGGCCGCCGGGGGCCAGGGCATCTCCCCTGCTAAGGTCACCCGCCGGAGCCGTCCCCGCGGGCCGCGTTCCCCGGGAACAAGGTCACCACCCAGCCCGGTCCCCCGAGGAGGAGCGCAGCCGCCCTTTGTAGAGCGGGGCTCGCCGGCCTCCGCGCGGCATCCCGGCCGCCGCCTCACCTGCTTGCGATAGGGCGTCCTGCAGTTGCTGCTGCCCCCGGGGTTGCCGCTGCTGCTGGGGAAGATCATCGCGGCGGGCGCGGGCGCCGGGC